GTATGAGCCATTGACTCTGTCTCTACTTCAGTTGCTTCATTGGTAGACTAGAGAAAGGTGATGACATCTGGGAATTTAATTCATTGAATAACCCAGACATGGACCTTCTCTCAGTTAGATCCTTCAGAAAAAATAACAGAAACATTTGAAATGAAGTGAAACAAGAACCAGTCCACCAAGACAGAAATCAAAATAATTAGCTGATTTTTAAAAAAATAAAAATAGGAGCCAGGCACGGTGGCTCACGCCTGTAATCCCAGCACTTTGGGAAGCCGAGGCAGGTGGATCACCTGAGGTCAGGAGTTCCAGACTAGCCCGGCCAACATGGTAAAACCCCATCTCTACTAAAAATACCAAAAATTAGCCAGGCATGGTGGTGGGCACCCGTAATCCCAGCTACTTAGGAGGCTGAGGCAGGAGAATAGCTTGAACCTGGGAGGCAGAGGTTGCAGTGAGCTGAGATCACACCACTGCACTCCAGCCTGGGCGACAGAGTGAGACTCCATCTGAAAAAATAAAATAAAATAAAAAATAAAAATAGGACAAGTTCCGCTACTAAACTGAAAAAAAAAAGCAAAGGCTAAAAAAATACACCATCAGTAGCCAATGCAATCACTCAATCTGAAATGGGTGTAAATAGGCCTATTTCTGACTACCAGAAAACAAAAACACACTTTTTTTTTTTAAATGGATCTTACTCTGTCACCTGGAGTGGCTGGAGTGGAGTGGCGCAATCTCAGCCTCCTGCAACCTCCAACTCCCTGGTTCAAGCCATTCTCCTGCCTCAGCCTCCTGAGTAGCTGGGATTACAGGCATGTGTCACCACACCCAGCTAATTTTTGTATTTTTAATAGAGACAGAGTTTCACCATGTTGACCAGGATGGTCTCAATCTCCTGACCTCGTGATCTGCCTGACTGGGCCTCCCAAAGTGCTGGGATTACAGGCATGAGCCACCGCGCCCGGCCAAAACACACATTTAATTCACACATATATGTGTATAACAAGGAAGAAAACTGGGAAGAACATGTGTTCGTATGTTAACATTGATTATCATGAGTAGAAAGATCAGCAGTGACATCTACCTTACTCCTTTAGTTTTTTTACTTTCCAAATTTTCTGCAAGGAGTGTTACTACCCTATGTTCCGAGGGAAGAAGAGGCGATATAAATGACTGCCAGGAGGAATATGCTGTAATACTTAAAGCTTAATATAAATTGAGGGTGTAAAGATTTTGTTCCCTAGAGGAACAAAAGACAGGCAGGTATGGAAGCAAGGATTCGGCAAGGTCGAAGGTTCACTGTCAAAGCAAGCCACCTGCCAACTACGGAAGACCAATAGCTAGTAACAATGCGAAAGACTGATCAATCAAATGCAGAGACCCAATTCTGAGGAAATAGGAGTTCCAGAGAAAAGGGGAGAAGCCAGCCATGTGGGAACTACAATCATGTCAAGAATTAAAGACTATCTTTTAAACACAAAGACATTTCAAAACAGCTACCAAAGGGCCCGTAATGCCCCCACCAAAGGGTGAGCCTTCATCAGACACGGGCCCTCCACAATCTTGTTAAAATCTTAAGAAAGGAAGACAAAGTCACGTCTTAGAAATAACTAGAAAGAAATGGGAGAAGGCACCTACATTTGTGAAGATAAGGCTGGCATCAGTCCTCACCCTTCAGACATCTCAGCCTGGAAGGAATTGGGGAGAAATTAACACCTACCTCAGAGAACCAGAGCTCTCATCCCAAGTCCAGTACCAAGCCAAACAAGCTTTTCTCTTGGAACATAGAAGGAAGATATTGAAGAATACTCAGATGACATGAAACAATTGTCGGCGAACTTCCACAATTACATAGACCGTCATGAGAATAAATTAAGGCTGATAAAAAAAAATGAAAGGTCCTTTTGGAAGCTATGTTAATTTCTTAGGTCTGCTGTAACAAATGATCACAAACTGGGCAGCTTGAAACAAGATAAAGTTCTGTCAGTTTAGGAGGCCAGAGGTCTAAAACTAAGGTGTCAGGAGGATTGGTTCTTTCAGGAGGCTGTGGGGAGAATCTGTTCCACCCTTTCTCCCAGCTTCTGAGGGCTGTGCAAGAGCAGTAAACATCCCATGTTGGCTTCCTATTCTGCAAAGCAAATCACTACAAGCTTTTCAGCTTAAAAAGATACCCTGTTGCCGGGCACGGTAGCTAATGC